CTTAAATAAAACGCCTTATTAAACCACTTTGGAGAGCCAACGTATTGCAGGAAGTCTTTTACAGATTAAAAATATATTCCGTAGAGACTTCCATTGTAGGCACACATTTTTTGATGATGTGTTTTCAAGTCTGGGTGAGTTTACAAATAAATCTATCCATGTATCCATTCAAATATTTTATATGGAGAAGAACGCACAGGAACTCACTACTTCGATATCCGCTTTCGAAATCATAGTATGTGGAAAATTTTGACGGGCAGGATAAAGAACGCACCATTTCAGGCAGTTGATTGAAAATGCGGAAAACTGATACTTCAAGTTCACTCTAAAAATCAGTGAAAACCACTGTCGCCAGAAACCGCATCATAAGCGTGTAAGACAAAAGTTCTCTTGTTACACAGAAAAGAGTGTGCTAATACCTGCATCTTTTGGTGTTGTTCCACTTTCTATTGACTGACCGAACCCAGATCATATGGCGTTAACGAAACTTTTATTCCTATGCAGCGAAATCAAGCAGGATCATCTTTGGTTTCATTAATCATATCTTGAGCAGTGCAAGAACGGCAAATTTGCATCATATTCGCGCAAATTTCTTTCGGAACCTTAGTGAAACAGTACACAGTTGACTGACTGTCATTCCTAATGTGGCTCAAATGATCCAAGATATTACAGTGGAAACGGTGAAAAAAGACAACTGCGCAGCGTTCCTGAACTTATGATGTCTCATTTAGTTACTTTTTGCGTGAAAATATTTTACGCGCCCGTGATAGTTGGGTTTGCGCATTCAGTCAGAGCTTTTGTGCCTTTAAAGTTCCGGCACTTCTTAAGAAAACTGGATAAGCTGTGGTTATGTAGCCTCAACTAATGGACACAATACTGTTGGTGTTGGGTTTATGGGTTAGGGGTGGGGTTGGAGGCTAGGATTCAGAGTTAGGGCAACTATTTCTGAACCATTGAAAGTACAGTCGCGCACTCCCAATAGCTTTTCCTTTGCATGCAACTATTTGACCTCGTCGCCTGTGCGTTCTCCGGCTCCACCTGTAAAAACCCCTGTTACCACCGGCCCCGTATTAGAGGTGACGGGGTTTGTTTACTTCAGGTGGGGCTGCATAACAACATCTGGCTGAAAACTGTTATTTCCAACTAACTGCAATATCATCTCAAATATTTCCGTGACATGTTAACTTAAATGAGGGCTGCTTTTCATTACTTTGGTGTTTATATCGATGTATTTGTCCGGGTTTCGTTTCGTTAGACTTTGCCCTAACTTTAGTGCACTTCATGAGTTAGTTAAGATACTCAATCCGTAGCAGTGCCACAAACTCTCTTTGTGCGCAATAAAAATTGATTGTATTGTTGTGGTCTTAAAATTGGGAAGGTGACCTAATAAATCTAGTTAACCACCAAAAAATAAGTAGGTTTTTTCTAAAACTATCCAGTTGTTATTTCAAAGAGCCTAATCTTCAACTTATTTTCCGTCGGCAGACAGGAAATCACCACAAACAGGTTGTGGTCGCAAATTACTCACCAACTGGGGAGACAAACGACTACAGAAGACGAAAGGCCAGTTTTGGAAAAAAAAATCAATAATCCATGTTACTTTATTGAATATCCTTAACATTGTTGAGCGTAATGCTTGAAATAAATAACAAATTTACTAAATTTTTGAAAGCTCAAAAATCCGTTTTCCAACTGATATTTTAAGTCCCTTTGAGCGTCCGAAAACCTAATTGCGCTCGTGAAGTTCAATCCCATTTTCATTTCCATTACTTTGTTGTTACTTGTGGCGCACTTTTTAAAAACGATTTTGTCGAAGATGCCGATAGAGTGAAAATTCGTGGGTGGCCCTGCGATGTGCTGCCAAAATCACATTTAGACGATTTTCGCGTTGACTGAGTAAATCAGAAGTGAGCTCATTTTCTGTCTTTAAGATCATGACTAATTAGAGAATGAAAATACCTCGTCAGACATTCGAAATTCCTCAGGGATGAAAAAAAGTCGTTTAGGTGTAAAAGTCCACAAAGCATTTCTTGTTTATATTAGCCGCAAAATTAGAAGGAAACGCGATAAACACTTAAAATTACGAACTTTAACCCTCAATATTTGGCGCGTTACGAAATGCTGTTGACAAGTAAAAATGCAATATCCTCTGTTATTTGACATCTGGCAGCATTCGTGCATTTTCTAACTCCATATTTTGTCCTATGAACAGTAATGTGTTAGTAGTGTTTTAAGAGCACCATCTGTAGTATTTAAGGAGTACTGACCCAGTAGTCTGAAAATGTATCTGATTTTTTTGTTTCCCCTCCTTTGCCATCAGGCGTACACCAGTATTTTGGGACAGTTTGTCAAAGAGCCCAAGTAGCATGCAAGAGCTTTCCTCATCAAAATGACGGTTATCGGCACATTTGCCCAGAAGTCGGCTGAAGTTTTATCGAAGGCAGGATGCTCAAACCACTTTGTAGCTGATTTTGTGAGTAAAGAAAAATATTATCCTGACAGATGGTCCATGTCAACTTTTGTCGCAAATGTTTCAAATAGCAACAGACTTGCTAAAGGCGGCAAATTCTGCCGAAATACTTAATATCAGTTGTTTGCCTACTGTCTGTTGTCGCCAGAAACAGAGACTAGATACAACACTCAGAAATTCCGTTGCAATTAGCTAATCAGATGGAATCCTCTCTGGCATGTAAAAAGAACAATGGATGATAAAAGAACAAAACTCATGAAGTTTGGAAAAAAACAGGTTTTTAGATACGCAAGATTGATTGACTGGAGCGATTGAAAATCAGGGCCCTTCCTAGCGTAAGTTGCGCCTAGGATGCGATATGAAATTAACAAAGTCATCAATCTTTGTTCTTGTTTCTAAATTAAAAGGAGCCTTAAATATGCCGAGAAATTAAAATCGACAATTTTGCTCGGTACAAGGTATCATTGCCTCCTGTTTTAAGGTAAATGATTTGAGTAGAAAAGCTTTGTTGTTGGGACTTGGGTCACTTGTTTCAAACAAGATGTAGTACGACACAAATATCAGTCAACTGAAGAAGATAATTAAAAGCTCCTTGATTTTTGATTAAGCTCACGAAATGTCTTGCTGCCAGAATTTGCATATTCCAGTCTTTCCCTGTGCCCGCGCTGTGGCTGAATGATTAACCGATCCTTATCTCAAGTATAGAAATCTATGTGACATTAGCAATAAAGTGCTTGTTACACCGACAATAAATAAAACATGGTAAAACCGAGGGGATGGTGTATCAAGACCCAAAAGTGCAACAAAAAAGAAACTTGACGAATCGTTGCCTAGAAACAAGTTGGTCCTTCAAAGGCCACAGAGACAAACGCCGTGCTGGAAGGAGCACAGCGGGGACTGGCTTTTAAAATTAATCAAACGGAAGCAGATTTGTGTGTCATTTATTTCACTTCCACTCTCCGAATAAAATGCCAAGGAACCGCCTGTGAACGCAAAGGCAATGGTTGGTGCCACATCTAACTGAAATACACACGTGCGTGTCTGTACTTTCACGTGAGCGCATATTAAAATAAAAATTACTGCTCCACTGCGCATACAGTGTGCATCGTATCACATATAATGCGCTGAAGGAAAAAGAGTTGACCACCATGGGACACCAAAAAACGTTTTGTTTTTTACGCATCCACCTAACCCGTTCCGCAAAATATCCCTTTTCCTGCAAATAATTTTTAAAGCAATTTTAGCAGCAAAATATTTGTAAAGTTAAGCTTGCATCAAAGTTACATTATATTTGACCAAATTTCTATACTATTAATTTTCGTGGGAGCAATAGTCTAAACCAGCTCTTTTACGAAACAAAATTTCGCCTACTTTCAATCGACGTTCTGCTGTGTAAACGTCAGGTGGAGGATGTAAACGAGCATGTTTTTGTTTTAAAATGCAGAAGCTTCTTCGATCGCAAAAATGTACTTTGTCGTTCTGGGCTATTTTTTGCCCCAAAATTCTGCACTGGCGTCTGTATGCAATTCTTGTTTTGTATGTTCCTATTGATCCCTAACCTTTATGAGTATTCCGTTTGAAATAGTAATAAGTCTCATTATTTAACGAACACTCTGACTCTTTAGTTTACGGTAAATTGCATTTTTTGCACTCAATTTTCCGTCAATGCATAAATTAAAACGATCTTTTGATACAATTGTCAGCTCAGCGGGGCATTTGCAATCGAAGAACGAACTATAGCAGTTAGCAAAATCAATGACATGTATTCCTACTCGGTAACAAATGTGAGTTTGTGCCTAGGCGCCAGACTATCTTGCATTTACCTATCTGTTAACCACTCTTGAACTTACTGGTTTATTATCTGAACTGAAAGAACTCGGCTCAACGCGACGCGCGTGGCATGTGTCGGAATATCAGGTCGTTTGACATTTAATTATTCATTTTGTTATTACCCCTGCCTTGACCTGATATCCATAGTCTAAGATTGGCAGTCGTGTCCTTTGCGTCTACAACAGTGATTTGTTGCCTGTATGTAGTCCGTTCGCATCGATTCTGTCTACCACCATGCCGCTACTCCTCTCAGTGGAGTTGTCTTGTCCCTCCCAAACTTCTGGCAATATGCGCTAGAATTTTATTTCTTCCGTACTGAGGCAACGTTTTGCTCTGCAAAGGTGACACGAGAAGCCGGCAAGTATTAAAACAATGGTAGAGGCTCTTCCTCCTACTATTCTTTCCCAACTGCAGACATTTATTCATGATCCCCCGACTGATGTTCCCCATACATAGCTAATGGCTGAATTTCCTCGCCTGACCTCTGCCAGATCACCAGCATTACCACGCACTCGTAAAAGAAGAGGCTTTAGGTGATCGCGAGCTGCTGGATCTCCTACGTAATATGCGTTCTCTTGTTGGGAACATGGCTGTTGATGATAAATTCATTCAATAGGTGTTCTTAGAAGGTCTGCCAACATCAGTGCAAAAAATATTGACCTCAGACTCAGATGATTCAGACACCTTAAAACTAGCGGAAATGGCCGATCATATGATGCAGGTTGAGCGTTTGTCATCCACGACGGCTGCTCAGGTTTCGCAGCCCCTCACTGCGTCCGCCTCTGAGGCGGCCGAGCTCAAGACACAGATTGTCGAATTGTCGGCGACTAGTGCCGCTTTGCAGCTGCGCCGAGTTACCGACCCACCACCTCGATGTTCCTTTAGCCGCGACCGTCGTCGCTTCCGCTCTCGCCCGAGGACCGCTAACCTATGTTTGGCAAATTTATTTGGCGATAAGGTGCGCCACTGTGTTCCACCCTGCTTCCTCAAGTCCCTGCAGGGAAACTTCTTGGCCGGAGAGTAAATGTGAACGAGCTCTATGGCAACTCTACCCGTCGCACATTTTATATCTGTGATAACACGAATGGCAGACGTTTCTTGCTCGATACTGGCGCTCAGTCGACCAGCCGACGTTGTCCCAATTATTGTCTTTCTACAGGCCATAAACGCTTCTCCCACCGGGACTTTTTGATCCTAGACCATCTGCCTTGACATTGGTCTCGGGCGAATTTTCCCTTGGATCTTTGTGAAGGCTGATGTTGCTACTGCTATCGTTGGTGCTGACTTTCTAGCGGCGTTAGACCTTCTGGTTGATTACAGGCAGTTTCGGCTTTATGGTCGCGCCACTGCCCTCTCCCTCAACGACTTTCACCCTTTCCCCGCCTCCAACCGTCTACCTGTCCTTCACCCAAACCTTGACTGTCAATTCCGAAAAATTTTTGCAAAACAGCCTACTTTCATTAAGCTCCACGTTTCTGAATCCTCAATGCCCCAGGATATTGTTCATCCTATAAAAAGACTGGTCCTCCTGCTTCCTTTTGTCCTCGCCGCCTTGCACCACCACGTCTTGCGGCTGCAAAGGCTGAATTTGACCACGTGTTGCAATTAGGGATTGATCAACAGTCTGACAGTCTCTGGGCATCTCCTGTGCACATGGTTCCTCAACCACAAACGGATGATTGGCGTCCTTGCGGACATTAAAGATCTCTGAACAGTATCACTATGTCCGGTTGGTATCCGGTTCCCAATCTTCAGAACTTTGCTGGAGCCCTCTTTAGCAAAACCGCTTTCTCTGCGATTGATTTGGTCCGGGCTATTATGAAATTCCGATTGCGGCGAAATAAACTCCCAAAACGGCAGTGGCGATCTTTTTGGCTTGTTTGAATTTATGCCATTTGGCCTCCCAAATGCCTCACAGACTTTCCAACGTTTCATTGACAGTGTTTTACATAGCCTTCACTTGTTTGTGCTTATGTTGACGATGTTTAAGTCGCCAGCTGGGGTGCTAGTTAACATCTTAAACACCTTACCCTACTTTTAGATCGATTTTAACAGTTTGGCGTCACCTTGCATCATCCTGCTAAATATGTCTTGAGAGTCACATCTCTTGAGTTCTTAGGACATCAGATCGACCCAAAAGGCATTCGGTCTTCTCACTCAAAAGTTGCCGACAGTCGGGACTTTCCACCCCCTACCTCGAAGCGTCAGCTGCAACGGTTTCTCGGTATGGCGAACTTTTATCGCCGGTTTCTCCCGAACAGTGCCAACATCATCCTCCTACTGACCAGTCTCCTCGCAGGTTCTAAACGCACATTTGAGCTAACACCAGCAGCACTCACGTTATCAAAGCAGGTTAAAACCCTTCTAGCTGATGTCACCCTCCTGACTCACTGTTATGCTGGTGTACCCATATCTCTGATGGTCGATGCTTCCAATGTTGCTGTTGGCGCGGTTCTCCAAAAACGTCTGCCAGATTCTACCTGGCTTGCTTCTCCAGGAAATTATTCAGAACCAAAACCCGCTACGGCACATTTGGACGTAAACGTCTTGCCGTGAGGCACTTTCGGCATTTACTTGAAGGTGGAGATTTCACAATTTTCACAAACCATAAGCCATTCATTTTCGTTTTGCATTTCCACTCTGACAAGCTAAACACCCCGGGTGATTCGCTACCTGGACTACATTTGTAAGTTCACTTCAGACGTCCGTCGTACTGACAGTTCACGGAATGAGGTGGCTGACGCACTGTCCAGGCCATTTATCACTCACCTCCTGCTTTCACTCGGGATTGACCTTGATGAGATGGCCGCTGAACAACGCCTTGCCGGTTCACCCTGTGATGAGGATGTTTCCAGACTCTAACCTTAGGAGCTACCACTGAAAACTGATAACGGCACCATTATGTGCAACGTATCCATCCCGACCTATCGTCCGTTTGTGCCACCATCCCTTTGTCGCAGAGTTTTCTTCTCCCTACATAATTTATCTCACCCTGGGCTGTACTCGCATCCGGACGGCGGCCCATCACCCGGCTGCCAGAAGGATGGCTGAGCGGTTTCACTTCCTCACGCGCCGCGGATGATCCGGAGAATTGGACAGACCATCTTCCACTGGTCCCATTGGGCATCCGCTCCGCTCCCAAGTCGCACCTTGACTATTTCGCGGCTGAACTAGTCTTTGGCGCCACGGTTTGATTTCCTGGTGAGATGGTCTCGCCAAATCCTTTTGGTGCCTTCGAGGATCCCAGCAACCTTCTGCACTGCCTCCAACAGTTTCTGCGGACATGTTTTCCGGTTTCACCCAGATCCTCGGCCTCTTTGTCTTTTCTCGAGAAGTACTTGGCAATGCTGTCTCACGTCTACCTTCGATGTGATCAGTTCCCCCAGCCTCTGGAACCGCCCTATGACGGCACATTCCAGGTCCTCTCTCAAGGGACGAAGACATTCCGCATTCAACGCGTCAGACGTGAGGCGGTCGTGAGTGCGGACTGCTTCAGAGCATCTGTTCCGGTCTTTCCGTCGGACGCGCCCTATGATCCCCACCTCCTCCAATGTCCCATACTTTCCCTCTTCCCCCTTTTGGCTACCTCCAACTGCCACCAACAACTCTAATACTTCCGCCGTGGAACGTATCCACTTTTCTACTGACCTTGTGTATATCACTAACAGTTATCGTCATGTTCGCTTTCCTGATCGGTTCGTCACTCATTTCGTTTAGGCTTGTACACATTCATCGACATCGTTTTGGACCTCCTCCGGTGTCGCATGGGGGCACTGTGCCGAGGCGTCAGACGATCTTGCATTAACCTATCTGTTCACCATTCTTGAACTTAATGTTTGTTTATATAAACGGAAGAGACTCGGCTCAACGCGAAGCTCGTGGTATGTAATGGACTATCAGGTCATTTGACATTTAACTCGTAATTATTTTATAACTCTCGCTTGTTCTGATATACATAGCCTGAGCTTGAAAGCTGTTTCGTTCCCGTCCACAACAAGTTTACTCGTCATCGACAAAACAATTATCGGTAATTTTCGGGGAATTTAAAAAAACATACCCAGTATCCATTTTTCGATAACGTTGATGAGAGAAAAGGTGAGACACATAAATATTTGTCAGCAAACATTATCTTAAGGCACTCTGAGGAGATAACGCTTTTGAAAAGGTTGGTTGATCGACGAAGAGCCAGTTGAAGTGAGGTGCTATTTTCAAGTGTTCATTTTATGCCAGCGGTGAGGTTTCAGTCTTTGTGAATCTTAAACAATTAGCCCGAAACGCCATTTGCATGATAAACGACGCCCAAGATTCCACAGCTTTAGTAAACGCTTTCAAAAAATGTCTTTTTTAAAGGTTATGACGAACGGAACTCCTCCCTTTAAACGCATAAACTGATAATTCAAGGAAACCCTACAACTTAGCGAACTCCATCTTCGCCAAGGCAGCGGTAACTGTACTGAAAAGAGTTTTCCTGATTAACAGAATATGGTATGTTAACAAATAAACCTGTCAGTTTCATTGAGTCTATTAGTAATTGGCAGGACTTGCAACGTGATATCTTATGTAATTTTTTATTTCTGTGACGTCCATATGGGCATGAGCTAGGCGATATGCTTTTTTCGCCTGCACGTTTTTGGGGGTCACTTGTAATAGTTTGGTGTTTTGTTGGATTCTTCGGGAATGCTTTTTTACTGATTGGTGGATGTTCGTTAATTTGGACATACTCCGTCATCAGAATTACATTGTGATCTTGTAATATAGGACGGATCACTAAGGGAATATTACTGTCTATGCTTCATTTTACGAAACACGGCAGTCTCTTTTGAAATAAGGACGCCAAAAATTAGTAAACGGATATTTCTACAGGAGAAAAATAAATATTAAAAAGATGCACATTTGCTTATATTATGAAATTAAGTTGTTAAAAATATAAAAAAGAATGGATGCTAAAAGCAGGAAAATTAAAAGCATACTCAGTTTGACTTGCATGTTTGTACCTCCATCCGTCTCTCTTCTCGTCATCATTAAATAACAGGACATTTAGCATGACCAGAAGCCTACTGCATGAACATTAACCAGTTTTAAATAGTGATACGATGTTCACTTTTGGGAAGCTTTCCTATTTCGTCCATCGAAAACTTAGACGACAAAAACGAAGACGCTTTCGCGAAGTTTCCTGGTTGATAAGCCATCAGGAGTCAAAGTTATTACAAGTTATCACGTCAAGATGATGGCCTGCTCATGGGGATCAAACAAAATAATCAAAATAGTGCTGTAGGAGAGAAGCACAGTTGTTCTTCTGGTTTCAATGATGACGAAGGTAGGCTGATCTAAAAACATCATGGCAATGACATTAAGAAATTTTCCATTTTAATCCCTTCAACCAATAATGGAAGAAATGCGACCATATGCTGTGAATTTGAAGCTAACGATTAAGTGTGGATGTTTGGACGGAATGCTTTACCTTCTATTCCCGTTAAAAAGCATCCCACTAATTTAATTTCTAGTTCGTTGTTATATGCTGATAAAAAGCAAAATGTTCGTCATTGTACGTAAAAGGCTTCGTAGCGAAAATCAAAAATGCACACGCTCTTTATTATTTCCTATATTTCACGAGTTGGTCCTGTGATCCAAGAAGCATTCACTACTGCAGTTCATACGTAAAGGCACTGTCTTTGACAGAAAAACTTCATTCTCTAGATGAATTTAAAAACGATTTTCAAATCGTCGTCTAATTTTAGACCAGATGCCATTGTCCAAAACCTACGCAAGTATGTCAGTAAAACGAAACGCACGCAAATTTAATTTCGTTTAAAATCACGTGCGAACTAAAAATATGTACTGATATACCATCTTAAGACACGTTTTACAATCGTTTTGCAGAAACGTGCCACCCCCATTAACAAACATTTCCTAATCCTTTGCTTACGCTTACCCGTATTCGTTATCCGAAAAAAACATTTATTAATCGCATTAGTACGTTGGCTAAGAGTAGTATTTGGGCAACCTTCCGATTCATCTTTCCAAAGACGTAGGTAGTTTTGCCTTCTTATGCCCGCCAGGCAGTTTGTATGGTCATTTCTCACCTATAGCCGTGTCTACTCATATACGAAAACACTCCAAACAAGAAAACTTGGTTTACAATTGTTGCTGCTGGAGAAAATAGATCTACTATTAAGAATTGTCTCTTTAAGCCCACATTCGCTCTTCTTTTACGAATAATATGGTCTAGAGGTGCACATCGCAAAGGAGATGTTCTATTGACACATCAGACAAATATGTCGAACCCAAAACCTTTGAGAAAACCAAACTAGTAATTTGAGATCCTGTTACCTTCGTTTACCTGTTTCCTTGCCTACAGTACACAGAGGATGTTTGAAATACATCCTCTCTCGTGTTTTATAACAAAAACATTCTCAAATCTGACGCTACAGCAAAAAAACTAAGAATGCGACTACCGGAATAAACAATACAATTTAAAATCCAAAATTACAAATGCAATGTTGTGCTCGTTAATAAAGCTCTCGCGGTTCAATGACAAAACAGAATCTGCACCTGTGTACTGAATAAACCACCTAAGCTACTGCACCCGATTAAATCGCCGGTTGGGAGCGATTTAGTAAATGTTTTTTAAAAGAGATGAATTCCATACAGGTTTGATAAGTAAAAACGAAACCGGATTTTGTGGCCCTTAAAATTCTGATGATTTTCTAAAGTAGCTCTTGCAATTGTGCATCCTTTCAGCTAAAGAGAAAATCTCATTGCGATGCGTTAAAAGAAACTCATAAAATAATGTTTCTTGCTTTATATTTCAGAATCTATCTTGAACTCAGAATTTCGATACCCCACCTTCCTATAAGTAAAGTTATTTACCAAGGGTGTTGATTAAGCTAAGTCTCAAATGCCCCGTTTTTAAAGTGAGGCTTAAAATTTAAAGCAACTTAAAGTTTTCTGATGAAAGCTGTTTTTATTTTGTTCCGAATGTTTGCCAGCAAAAACCTAAAGTTGAAATTTGGTCTAAATTCAACAGGATTCCTATACATAAGGAATGGTAGAAATGGATTCTCACGAGCTGTCGACACTGCTCAATAGATGTTCCTTCTTTTTCTTACAGCAAAATAATGCAGTCGGCCTTATTTCATACGGCAGTTGCTTAAGTCGATGCTAACGTTCTATCAGCAAGTGAAAGTTGCTTCCATCAACCCAGTCATACAAATTCTTCTTGGTGCTTCTCACGCGTAGGGACAAAATGACTGTCCTTCAACATTACGGCCTGAGAGTCTGATGTGCATCTGGGGGTTCTCTCATTTGCCCACACATTGCTCTCTAATTCATTTTGACATTTATTTTTGTCTTCTAACAGCACCTTAAACTTTCGAATATTTTGTGGTGAAATGGCCTTTAATGAATTAATGACCACAAATTTTATTCTGCTGCTTATCGTTCATTTCGACTTTTGCCGCACTTCTATTAACGCAGTCATTTAATATCACCCGGAATTTGTAAAACCTACCCTAAGCTAGTTTGTCCGCACTCAGAAAATTTATGTATTTAGGGGAGTTCTTCACCCATTACGACAGGAGTGCTATTACGGCGATCACTACATACTATTAGTAGACACGAGATTGTAAAGTTAAAAAAGTGCGCAGAAGTTTTCTATTGACCAATTTCCTGTCTCGACGTTTTGTCCCATTGATAATATTCAGTGAAGAGCTCAAAGTGGATTGCGCGGTCGTTTTCTCAGAAAAAACATTTTATTGCGAGTCGCTGCCGTGTTCGAACCCAACCCAACAAACAATCGAAACAAAAATATTGCTATTGTGGTTTATGTCTATCAATATTATATTATTCACCTCAAGGAAGCCACGAATGGCAAAGACATGATTGCACATTGGGATGGTCTCTTTAGATAAGTATGGGTGGAAAATCCTGGGACTTAAAATGGGAGCACAGGTAGAAATGATAAGCAGGCTCCGCATACGACAGTACTGTTAGGTGCTCACTTGGATGTGAAGCCCAAATACATCACATTACAAGCTTTATTCGTAAAGTTATATTTCTAAGCGATTGCATTTATCCGTGTAGATATTTGTAAGTGTGAGTATGGTTTAACTGTTGGATAAACGTGACGAATTTGCCTAGCAGTACATATTTAGCTCTACCGTTCTAAACAGAAAATTTTTATTCCGTACTCAGAAGACTAAGAGCTCACAAAAGATGGGCGAACTTGGTTCTCCTGGTTTTTATGTTGGATTTAAAAAACGAAACAAAGATCAGCTGTTGACGAAAGCCGCTAAAAACAACCAGTGGAATTTCTGGACCAGCAATACTCCCTAACAATCGCATATATTACTTGACACGTGAGAGGGCAGATGAGAAGGCTAATTCTAAAGTTTTTATATATTAGATTTACACTTGTCGTGCTTACCAGCCTTTGATATGAGAAAATGCCCGTGAGTGTTTGTTCGTCGGAAAAAATATGCTTGAATGCAAAATCTGCTGTTTATTGGCTTGCTGGAGGTCCCATACAGGACAGTTGATCCTCGAATATTATTAGGTACTGTTTTCCAATGCGACAGCATCTTGAGGTTAGGGGCAGTAGGCAATAGCCAGA